CCCGCCCCATGATGGCCAAGAGGAGTCGGATAGGTACCCAGCTGGAGGTGCTCTTGAGTCTTGAGAAGGCCCAGCACATTACCTTCTTACCTCAGTAGCCCCTGCCAGCTGTGAGCATCCGCGCTAAACCATTTGGGGCAAGAGCAACCTCTTCTGGCAGTGCGCCAATTCGTCCGTTCGTTGCTTCCACCTACACCTTGCACTTTTCCTCAACCTCCAGAAAAATATCACCAGCCTTGTAAGGGGAGCTTGTTCCTTTTCTCGTCGCAAACATCACCGTCTGCTCCTTCCAACCTCGTTTTCATCTCCGTTGATACCCAATTCCTCCCCTCGACGACCACCCGAACCGAGCACCCGGTCACGCACCCGACGACGAACCCCCGAACCCGATCGTCCCCCTGCGAACTCCAATCGCCCAATCTCCATCTCGCGATTACCTCGACAACAAACTAGCATGGCTGCCGTGAGTTACCTCCTTTTCTCCTCATTTCAAGCTTCCTACCCAGTATCATACACCTCATAATGCTTTATATCTTATTGCGCATTTCCCCGCTCTGCTCTGTCGTTGCCATCAGTCATGCTTCGTTGTTCTCCGGCGGGACCTTGACAGCTCCTCCTTGTCCCGCTTCTAGCCCCAGTACTAACATGTCATCGATGTCCATAGCCGCGCCCATACAACAACAACCCGGGCTACATGCCCAACGGAGCTTCTTCGATCCCTCCTGGAGCTGCGCCTCTCCTCCCCAACCAGGGTCGCGTTATCCAGACTGGCCCAATCCGAGTTCTGTGCATAGCTGATGTTCGAGGTTCGTCGCCAGTCCATCAAAACCCGTCGGGCGACCGGCCATGAAGCTCAACTCTGACATCACCTTTGATAGGAAACCTCACATCCCTCAACGACCTGGCAAGACAAGCACGAGCCGATCACATCATCCACACTGGCGACTTTGGCTTCTACGACGACACCTCCCTGGAGCGAATCGCAGAAAAGTAAGGAACACTCCGCGACTCTATAACCGACCGTTGTCATTCTGACACTGGTGCGAAGAACCCTGAAGCATGTTGCTCAATACTCTCCTCTGATTTCCGAGCCCGTCAAGAAGGCCATCCAGCAGGGCGGCCCCGGACCCGTCAAGAGCCGATTCCCTGCCAACGAGCTTCCCCTCTCCGAGCTCTCTCTCCTCCTGAGCGGCGAGATCAAGCTCGATATCCCAGTATACACTGTTTGGGGTGCTTGCGAAGATGTCCGCGTTCTCGAAAAGTTCCGTTCCGGAGAGTATAAGGTACACAACCTGCACATCATCGACGAGGCCCGCTCGATGCTTCTCGAGCTCGGTGGAGTCAAGCTGCGCCTCTTGGGTCTTGGTGGTGCTGTTGTCATGCACAAGCTCTTCGACAATGGCGAAGGAAGAACTACGATTGCCGGAGGCCAGGGAACTATGTGGACTACCTTGTTGCAGATGGGCGAGCTTGTCGATACCGCGCACCGAGTTTACGATCCCACCGAAACCCGCGTCTTCGTCACCCACGCCTCTCCTGCCCGTGAGGGTATCCTGAACCAGCTTTCCGTCACCCTCAAGGCCGACTTCTCCATCTCTGCCGGACTCCACTTCCGCTACGGCAGCTCCTACAACGAGTTCAGCGTAAACCCCACCCTCGACCACTACCGCGGCAAGCTCGCTGCCTCCAAGGCCTCTTTCAACGATGTTTGGGAGACGGTCAAGAACGAAGTCGAGCCAGCCATCTCTCAGAACGAGGGCCAACAGAACCTGCTCAAGAACGCCCTTCAGATTGTCGAGAAGATGCCCACTACTGCTGCGGGAGGCAACCCCTTCGGCGGTCCCGTTGCCGGCCAGGCACAGCTCGGCCAGGTCGACGAGAGTGCTTTCAAGAACATGTGGAACTTCAACTTGGCTGATGCCGCATTCGGATGGCTGGTGCTTGAGATTCAGGATGGACGCATCGGAACCGAGATGCGCGCCCAAGGCTTCAACTTCTCACACAGAGGTGCCAAGGCCGCTGCGCCTGTTCCCGCCGGACCTGCTGGTGCCGGCAACCTGCCTGCCCCGGCCCCGCCTTCTACTCAGACTACGGCTCCTCCGCCCACCAGCAGACAGCCCTCGTCCCAAGCACCTCCCAAGCCTGCGGTCGCAACACCCCTGCCATCAGCTAAGCCTGGAACTCCTCAACCTGCAGCTGCGGCGCCACCTGCGGTTCCTCCCAAGGACGAGCGTCCTGCGCCTGCGCCTGCTAACGGATCAGCCAACGGCCCCGAGCCCGTCTCTTCTCCCGCACCCAAGACACCTGCTCAAGATATTGTCGGTCTCTTCATTATGAATGTGAACTCCGAGGAGCAGACTCGTGATCTTTTCGACGGCGAGCACAAGAACAACATTCTTAAGGTCGAGAAATGGGGCAACTCCAACAAAGTTGTCATGTTCAAGACGATTGAGGAACGTGATGCTGCTCTGAACAGCCTTCCCGAGGACCTCAAGACCCGGGCTCAAGAGGACCGGTCTCGTCCCCTCGTCAAGGTATTCCAACACCGCGAGAGCAAATTCCAGCCCCGCGGTGGTGCTGGTAACTGGGGCAGCAGCAGAGGCGGTGGTAACTCTGCAAACACTGGCAGCGGCTACCGCAGTGCCGGTGGCGCCAGTGATTCCGAGAGCACCCGTCGTGGCGGCCGCGGCGGCGGCCGAGGTGGACGAGGAGGCGAGCGCGGAGGACGTGGAGGACGTGGTCGCGGTGGCCTTAAGGGCGAAGGCGGCGCCTCCCCCGCCCCTGGTCCTGCTACCCCGGCAGAGTAGGACTCTCCTCCTGAAGCCTTTGATGAAGTATGGAAGATGGCTCAGGCCTCGGAATCGAAGCCACGTGGTCCATCAAATGAAGTCTTTGAAGCTGTAATGGCCAAATTTGGCCCCTCGCAAGCAGGGGAATGAAAGGACAAAGATTTTATCGTTTTTTGCTGGTTATGGAAGGGGAATGGGAGGAAGGGGGGCCAAAGAAAAAATAAGTGCTACCAATTCTTGTACGCGTATCTTAATGAGACAACTTGAGGGAGAGAAAAGGGGGAAAAGACCTTTATTTCTAACTCAAGTTTTCGTTTTTCATCCATGTTTGGGGAGCTTTTTCTTCGTCGGTGAGAAGTTCATAAAAGGTGGTTGTGCTCCCGATGCTACGAGAGAAGGGGGAGGATACCTCTACCTGACTACTGGTTGTTGTTGAATTTGAGGGAGATGATGAGTGAGTGGTTGGTTGGTAAGAGTAGTCTTGATGGAATAGATTTCAGATCCATTGTCAATTCTACCTTGGAATGAGACTCATTTTGGTGGGAGTACTCTCTATATCTAAGTGATTGAGTGCCGTGGCTGGAGGAGTGGTTCGTCGTCACTGAGCTTGTCATTGGACTATAGGAACAGCCTTGCGACGGTATGGTGTTAGGAGGCTATGAGGCAGGGTTGGATCTAGTCCCTTGGGGGGAGTTAAAGTCGCAGTGAATTACAATTAGGCAGCGACGTGATATTAGTGGTCGTAGTGATTTATGTGACATCACAAGCCTTGAGGTTGGGCTGCGAGGTAAGCTTGGTTCTTTTCCTTTGAGGGGAGTTAAAAATGCAGTGCAACTTGCTGGGCAGTTGGGGAAATTTCCTTTTGTTTATGAGATTGTGTTGGAGAACACCGGAAAAACACTAGGAGTTTCGGGGATGTGCTGCAAGGTAAGCTTCCAGGTTGGCTCCGGCCCCCTTGGAGTAGAGTTCACATCGCAGTGTTGAGCCACGCATGGGCATCACAGCTGGGCTCGGCTGCATCTCTCGTCTCCTGAGAGGGAGTTAATATTGCAGTGTAATCCCCAAAATAGCGTTGCTGACAGAGCCCTTGCCTCGGACCAGGGTGAGCTTGGCTTCATTGTCGACAACAGATGCATCTCTGGAAATCATGTTCCCAATCCGAAATTATTTGTTCGATGAGCTAAAGCATGACAAAGTACCAGGCAGGTATCAGGAGTCGAGGTGATGTGAACGTTTGTTCCCCTGCGTTGCGCTCTCCCCAGTCGTATTCGTTAAAGAATCGACCATAAGGGTCAAGCGGTTACAATTAATGGAAGGTTGTTATCTTCTCTCTCTATACACGTCGAACCGCTCGTGAAGGCCGCGTGATGAATATAAGTGCGGGCACTCAACAAGGTTGAAGTAGATGTATGCTCTATAAAGTTCACAGCCTGGTCACCCTAACAAAGGTCATCAATACCCCAGATGTCACCGACACTACCGCCGCTTCGATGTCGAGATCGAAGCAGCCATCCGAGTTGGCTCATCCATCACCTTGGATTACAAGAAAGAGAACGCTTTAATATGAAGATGGACAGAGAGTATCCCAGCCGAACAGGAACAACGATGGACAAGCTGCTCAACGAGCCTTGGACAAAAATGGCCTCGTAGATGAGTGTCTGCCAGATGATTGCAGCCAAAGGATAGAATAGATGTTTTCTTCAAAGGAGTACCCGTTCTTGTTGTCTTATAAGCAACCATGCTACCCACACGAGCTAAATTGTAAGGTTTTGATAGTCTCAATGGGAGATATCAAAGGCTCGTGGCGGCTTCCTTTGCTATTGTCGATGATCACTGTCACTGGTGCGTCTGCGGGGACTCACTGACACGAAGTCCCAGAGATCGCAGCTGAGCAGTGTCCTGTCCAGAATACTAAATTCACTCAGCCAGGCTTGGGAGCTTAAGGCCGCGCTTACCGGTTCCTCATATTTCTCCAAGGTTGCTTGAGTCGTGTTGCTTATGAAATAGGCCCAGCGGCCTTTCGTGGTATACATTTGGTGTAGAGAGTCTATCTGGGGTGCCCGCCTTCTATGCAGCCATGCCGATGATTGAATTTCCCTGTGTTGATACATATACATACAGTTTACAAGAGCTTCTCACGAGCTCACCAAGCCCCTTTTTTCCTCCGGTGAATTTCCTTCCTCACACCCGAATTACCCCCGAATCGGGCATTTACGCAATAGGCTTCATACCCTTGTGAATGGCGGCAACACCACCAGTCAAGTTCTCATAACCCTCGCCCGAGACAACGAATCCGGCATCCTTGATCATGTCCCTGAACTCCGTCTGGCTCGGGAACCGTTCGATACTCTCGACGAGGTACTGGTAGCTGTCCCTGTCACCAGTGACGAGCTGGCCGATGAGGGGGATACCGCTAAAGGACCACCGCTTGTAGATGGCGTTGAAGAGCGGGTAGTCGTCGGCCTTGCTGAACTCGAGACAGGCGAAGACACCACCGGGCTTGAGCACGCGGTGGGCCTCGCGCAGGGCGGCGGGGATGTTTGTAAAGTTGCGGATGCCGAAGGCGACGGTGTAGAGGTCGATCGAGTTGTCCTTGATGGCGCCTTCGGGGAGCTTCTCGGCGTTGGCCTCGAGCCAGGACATGGCGGCCTGCTGGGAGGCCGGGAGAGATCGGGAACGGTCGCGGCCGACGGCGAGCATGGAGGGGTTGATGTCGGAGATCGTCACGCGGACGTCGGGGTTGTGGTTGATGTTGTGCGCCGTGTGGAGCATGCGAAAGGCAATGTCGCCAGTGCCGCCGGCGATGTCGAGGATGTGTTGAGGAGTGGGTGGGTTGGAGGCTGAGAGGCCTGGCTGGAGGCCGGAGACGAAGTGGTCCCTGGGAGAAGTGTGTTAGTGGTGATGGCATGACAGAGATGTCGAGAGGGACCAGACGTACTTCCATATTCTATGCCAACCAAAGGACATGAGATCGTTCATACGGTCATAAGAGTCGGCGACGCTGTGGAAGACGCCGGCGACACGGTCGGCCTTCTCAGACTCGGGGACAGTCTTGAAGCCAAAGTGCGTTGTCTTGCCGTCGGAAGGGTCGGTTGAGGTGTTGATGGATCGGGAGGCGATTGCGAAGGGGCGGGAGATAGGGGATGGGGATGTGCTGAGCTGATTCGAAAGAGATCGCGCGCTCCAAGAGGAGCGGAGGGCGCGTCGGGTCGCCATTGCTACGGAATGGCTCGTTTTTGTCGTGGGAGCGTGGAAAGACCTGTGGGCGGCGCGCAATGAAGTCAGTCGATCGGTGCTTGGAGAGCTTCCAGGATGGAATAAATTTTGGTGGAGAATTTGGGGATAGAGTGTGGCTGGTGCGCGCCATGTCGATGACATTGAGGAGTCAAGCCACATCTTGAAGACCAGGGCCTATGAACAATGACATCCAGATGGGTGTGTGGTATTCTTTGCCGGAGAAAATGAAGAAATGACTTACCTAGACGGTAGCCTCGTTGGAGGTAGCTTCTGTATTGGCTGTGGTCGAAGCCTCCTTACGTGCCGCTCTGTGATCGGCCAAAGCCTTGACGAAGGTGTGAACCTGGTCCTTTGCGAGCCAGATGATAGTGCAGATGAGACCAATGACCAGGATGACCAACAAAGCGATGGAGCCAGCGGGAGTCATATTGAGGCTGCTTGCTCGATATTTGAATGGAAACTTTATCTGAAGCCCAGTTGATTGGGTCGAAAAAAAAGGGCTGGTCAATGGTGATGAAGTCGGATATTGAAGTGTTCAATGGAGGCCGTTGTTTTTGTATTGTGACGAGTAGTACGTGACGGGTGTGTGAAGGGAAAAAGGTTTTGTGGTGAGTGTACGTGGGAACGAAAAAAAGAGATACGGCCCTTCCGAAGTGATTGTTTTGGTAGTGCAAAAAAAAACAAAAGTGTGCACTCCTTATTTTTCCCGGGTGTGATTCTCTGAGCTGCCTGTGAAGGCATCCAAGTCAGGTCAGACTTACACACAGCAAGCAGGAGCTCTACACCGAGATTCACCGGTCACCGAACCGCATCCTTGGGAAATCACCAGTAACGGCAAGTGGGGCGATCTATCGATAAGAATCCCCGACTTCTTCCCCCAGCTGAGCGACACAGTTTCAGGCACTGTTACTCTCACTGTTTTCCGAAGTCAACCTACCCTAGACTCGGACACCCCCGAGACGTAGAGAACCACACACTCTGGTAAGCTACAGAGCCAACAGCAACACGGACAATCCCTCAATCCACAGACGATGGATCCGACGTGGGAATCGCGTTTCCCACCGACGGTATCCAAAGCTTGTAGCCGTTGCCATGCAAGGAAAGTCAAGGTAGGTCGTCATCCTTCTAAGAAGGAGGAATCTGGATTACTGACATGTTCTAGTGTGATTTACGGGTTCCACGATGTTCAACTTGCGAAAAGCAAAACGAACAGTGTAACATTACTGACCGTGTGACTTACACGTACGCTGCTGTCAAAAGCCTTCAAGACCGAATCATTGAGCTCCAGGTCAGACTCGACACTGTTTCTGAAGCCACAGCAAGCCAAACTGGCCCGGTAGCTGGACCTGGCCAATTTGATGATGTCCGCAAAGAGGCAGAGGAGATTGGTGTTCTTGCAGTTGGAAGACCAAGCGGCTACTCAGAAAGGATATATAGTAAGTCTAGCTTCTTAAAGCCATGGGCTGGTGTTTCAAAACAGAATGATAATGATCGATATTTCTGCGCTTTAGTGGGCAGTGCTACTGGCTCGACCTTTGCTCGCATCTTCTTCAAACAGATTAACCTGTCGGGATCGTCATCAATTTCGCGTCCTGGTCGCCAAGATTTCCCCAGTCATGATCACGAACTCGTCCGGAACAACGCTACACTCCCGCCTCAGCCAGTCGCAAGATTTCTCCTGACAACATACATCAGTCGCATACATCCATGGTGGCCGTTCGTCTCTCTTCCCTTCTTGAGGAGTAGTCTCGCAAGAATCTACGAAGATCCAGCCAGATGCACGTTGTATCAAAAGTTTTTGATCCTCATGGTGCTCGCCCTCGCTTCAGCAACTTGCACAGAAGCCCAGGAGTACCGACGGATGATGGACTTAAACACCCCAACAGACTACTTCCAGACAGGCCTACAATTTTTTTTGAACATACACGACCACCCGAGAGATCTGCAAGGCCTTCATTCCGTGCTCTTGCTGTGCTTATGGATGTTAGGATCAAACATTAGAAATCACGGCGACGACCTTTGGCAGATGAGTCGATATGCCATGTCAACAGCCATAGAGATGGGCCTTCACCGGCGTTCCGTCACTCCGGGCGACCTAAGTTCTGATGACCGGGAGATCCGGAACCGGACGTGGTGGTGCGTCTACGCACTGGAAAGACAGGTAGCTGTCATAACAGGCAGGGTACTCTCGGTCAGAGAGCATGCTATAGATGCACCCAAGCCATCTGTCAGTACTCTCGACGAGCTCACAGATCAAGAAAGTCGGGCGGCGCCCTCGTTCCAAAAACTCAATGTGAAGCTTTTTAATCATTTGATGAGACTACGTCAGATCGGTGGGCGTGTCCTTGAATCCATCTACATCGCCAGAGGTCCTGATGGGCGAGCATCAAGAACCACATTTCAGGAAATATGCAACGAAGTTGAGAAGATCCAGCAAGAATTAGAGAGCTGGAAACGAGACTTGGAAACCCTGAACTTCAAAGGGACGCGCGAGTACTCCGAGGTGAAGATCGAATATGGACTTCTCCTGCTACTCATGTATCGACCATCTCCCACTTTCATGATTCCATCCAAAGAGATGGCTGAGATATGCTCTCGGGCCGTGTCTGGAACTGTTCAGCAGTGGCAGAAGCTGGACTTTCAGCATGGCATCACTGCTGTTTGTCGATGCATACGGCAAGTGCATTCGATCCTCATGGTAGGACTAGCAGGCTTATACTGTGACTGGTAGGCTTCTTCTCACACCAGACCCCGGTTGGCATTCATTTCAAGATTGCGAACTGACCATTAGCTACTAGGCACGTGAAAGCGATGGATCAAAGTCCAGAATCCCCTCTCCTCTACTCCCATGGAAGCAATGTGGCATTATGCATGGATCTCATCGAACGCGGAACTGCCCGGATGAAAGAAGAAGGCTTGCTAAAGTATCGCGATCTTCTCCAGGCAGCAAGAATCAAAGTATATGGCCCAAGGACGTGGGAGCCGCCAGTTGCTCAAACCCAACCCACAGATGCTTCGCCAGTAGCTCCTGTGAACGCGCCAAATACACTTGGTCTTCTTGACGCAGATAATACGCAGTCCAATATGTTTTTCCAAGGCGATGGGTTGGAAACGTATATGAACCAAGTTACGGGGTATTTCTACAACGCTCAATTGGGTTTAGATGAGGGTCTCACTGCTTGGTTTGATACTTTCATGGACGAGTTCCAGTCCAACAGGATAGGAAACTTGGGTTGAATGATACATCGTCACAATGATTCCTGGCAACACCAAGCCTTCCCTGCAACAGCCATTTGTGTAAGTTGAGTTACCGGTGGCTATCGACACTTGCTAACCTAATGCCATAACACAGCCTCAATTAATCAGTTGAGCGCTGGATTTCAAACTAGAGCTCAACATCGGATCATTATTATCGATTTGATCCCTCATTTCCATTGCATTGGTTGAAGCTAATACCCAGAGACCGAGGTGATCTCGGACTGGACCGATGGTAAGTGGAGACTGACTTGCGCAATGTCATCAGAGTTTCGGCCCTGGCCGAGCGCAGTGCCGACTAAGGCTACCTACTTGTTGGGAAAAGCATCGGAGCATCTTATGAGCATTTTTGGCTAATAGCCCTGTAGAACAAAAATCGGGGTCCTTTGTTCCATCAAAGCGTGGTATTTATTCGAGACTTGACTTTCAAATAGATGTTTTACGACTTACACGGAATCGCAACACACAACGCATCGCAAGCATCATGTCCGAATCTCGGCCAAAGCCTCAACCGGCCACAAGCCACACGGCTGTTCTAAACTCCAAAAATGCTTCTATCTTGGTAAGACATATCTTGGTCTTTAAGCTGATAATCGAAACAAATACTGACTCTCGATACAAGGTTGGCATACGCGACGGCGTCACTGGCGAATTCCGTCTAGTCCCCAGAGAGCAAGCAACGGTCTCAGTCTTTGACTCCAACTTCCTCATAGGCGATGGAATCTGGGTAAGTAAAGGGTCAAGCCGGCATAGAAAGGTCCAAAGGCTGATCTGATGACTTCTCATTGTAGGAAGGCATTCGTGCTGTAAGAGGCCGAGTCCAATTTGCCAAGGAGCACATTAATCGGCTCTTCCAATCTGCAAAGGCAATGTACATGGACTTGGGACTGACAAAAGGAGATCTCCTGTCACTTCTTCACCAGACCCTAGACGCCAACGACATGGGAAACGAGCCTCACGTCCACATGCGTCTGGTCGTCAGCAGAGGCTTAAAGTCAACGCCCTACCAGAACCCGCACGTCAACGTCGGCCTGCCGCTCATTGTCATCATCCCTGAGATCAAGGCCGTCGACCCGACAGCAAAATCGCGCGGCCTGCGCCTGGGAACGACCTGGGTCCGGCGCGGCCCGCCCGACGTCAAGGACGAGCAGTGGAACCACATCTCCAAGGCGACGGACGTGCAGGCGTGCGTGCACGCCAACTTCATGGGCGTCGATGAGGCGCTCATGCTGGACCTCAACGGATTCGTCAAGACGTGCAACTCGGTCAACTTTTTCATCGTCCGCGGCGACGAGGTGTGGGCGCCGACAAAGGATAACCAGATGATGGGCATCACGCGGCAAAAGACCATTGACGTCTGTCGGGCGGCCGGCATCCCGTTGCGGGAGCTTGATTTCGCGTTGACGGAGGTGTACGGGGCCGACGAGGCTTTTTGTACGGGCACGTTCCCGTCGCAGATTCATGTTACGGAGGTTGATGGGAGGGTGATTGGGGACGGGAAGAGGGGGCCTTTGACGGAGGTGATTCAGAAGCTTTACGCGGCGGAGGTTGAGCGGGATACTGCGAGGTCGAGGGAGGCGATTCTGGGTGAACTTGAGCAGGCTCGGGACTTGAGTGTGCTTGATAGCCTGAAGTCGAAGCTTTGAGTCTTCGTGGGGGCTCTATTCTGAAGCTCTTTGAGAATCTTCTTGATACCAATTTATTTGCCAATGAGCACACCATCTTTTAAAACGACCAAATGTACATTGAGCTACGGTGTATTTTGCCAACAAACCCTGAATCAATATTCAGCCGTCCCAGTACTAGCCAAGTTCCCTTTCAAGGGAAGTAGGCGAAACCAAAGTCTCGGTTTGAATGTTAAGCAACTTCCGCTATAGAAGGGATATATGGTGAGCCCGCGTAGTTTCATCCTTTTGCTGGGAAACTCGCGACTTGATAACAAGCCAATGATTAGAAAAGGCTCTTCATCACTAGCCTCCCGTTGCCACATCTTGATGCAAATACCAACCCATTAGCTAACACGGCGTCTACTGCAGTACTCGAGAACGATGATCTCAACAAACAGTGTGAGCACCGGTGGAGCACGAGTCAGCACAGCATCTCGGACTGCACCGATATCTCGACATCAATCATCTCGGTGGGGACCGAGCAAAAGCTCCACCTTCTCATTGCGTGATACCCCAGAATGATAACGTCAATCGCAAGTTCTATCCTGGCCCGTCTCCATGTCGACAAACGATATTGGTGTTATCCGGACAGAGCTCTCATTGATATCGAGAAGTCAGGGACATGGGATGTGGAGTTGAGCCATTGAAATACCTGCGGTTCCGCCGCCGACTCAGGGAAGCATGTTTGGTCTTTGGGCCTTGATCTTGAACCTGGGCTTCATTCTTTTTGACCTTTGAGAAGCAAGTTGGCTCTTGAATGAGCCTGACTGAGTTGTCTTGTTGATTGAGAGTTTGCCTCAACGACACATAAGGTCCGACTTACACGGTTCCGCAAATACCAACCTCCCTTGCCAAGTGGTTTCCAACGCGCTTCCATTTCCCGTAATGGAACCCAAATCAGCCATCGTCGACCACGACGCAACCGAGCAGACGGACGTCAAAGACGTACAAGATGGAACCTCCCAGTACGACGAGACCCTGGCGCCGACGCCCGCACAAAACAGGCGCATCCTGTGGAAGACTGACCTCGTCGTCCTCCCCTGCGCCGTAATCAGCATGACCCTCGCGTTCCTCGACAAGGCAAGCCCTCCCAATCTCAACTCCTCTCCTCTCTTTTCTTCTCCCGTGAACTCTCTTTAGCTAACCATGGTCCCCGAGATATAGAACGCCCTAGGCTTCGCCGCAATCTTTGGCCTCCGACAAGACGCAAACCTAAAGGGGCAGGAATACTCCTGGCTCGGCTCCGTCTTCTACTTTGGCTACCTGGCCATGGAATTCCCGGCCCTCTATCTTATCACCAAGCTCCCCATCGGAAAATTCATCGGCGCCTGCCTCGTCCTATGGGGCGCCTGCATCTGCCTCATGTCCGCCTGCCACAACTTCGCCGGCCTCGCCGCCATCCGCGTCCTGCTCGGCATCTTTGAGGCCGCCCTGCTCCCCTGCATGCTCGTCCTCAACGCGACGTGGTACCGCCGCGAAGAGCAGCCCCTACGGACGGCGCTGTGGCATAATACCTTTGCCGGCGTGTTTGGCGGTATTCTGTCTTACGCGATTGGGAATATTAAGGGGAGCCTGTCGACGTGGAAGTACATCTTCATCATCTACGGCGCCGTCACCGTCCTCGTCGGGTTCGTGGTTCTCTTTGCGCTGCCCGATTCCCCGCAAAAGGCGTGGTTCTTTGACGAGCGGGAGAAGAGACAGGTCGTCTCCCGCCTCGCCGAGAACCAGACGGGCGTCGACGTCAAGAAGAAGTTCGACGCGCAGCAGATCCTCGAGGCTGTCAAGGACCCGAAATGCTGGTGCGTATGGGCCTGCGCCATCGGCTACGCCGTCGCCAACGCGGGCATCACAAACTTCAACCCGCTCATCATCTCGGGCTACGGCTTCAGCCAGACGAAAACCGTCCTCATGGCCACCCCCCAAGCCGCGGTCGCCATGGTCGCCGGCGTCGTCCTCACCACAATCTCCATGTTCGTGCAGAACCTGCGCTGCCTGTTCTGGATCTTCTCCGCGCTCGTCGGGCTCGTCGGCGCGGTGATGGTACACACGCTCGACATCAACCAGAACAGAAACGCTAGCCTGGCGTGCGTGTACATCATGGGTTTCTATAACGTCCCCTGGGTCTTTATGCTGAGCCTCAACTCGTCCAACACGGCGGGCGCGACAAAGAAGAGCTTCATGGGCGTCACGGTGGCCGTGTGCTACGCCGTCGGCAACATTGTCGGACCCCAGCTGTTCTTGTCGAGCCAGGCGCCGCGGTACCCGCTCGGCATCAGCGCCATGATGTTCGCTTTTGCGCTCATGGCCGCGTCCGGGCTCGTGTACTACCTTCTCTGCGTGGCCGAGAACAGGCGTCGCAATTCAAAGTTTGGGGTGCCCGAGGATAGGTTGCAGGCTGGTCTTGAGCAGGAGAGGGAGGATAAGACTGATGGGGAGAATAAAGACTTCCGGTATACTTACTAATCGTTTGGTCATCTGTCGTAAAGCGAGATGTAGTTATTGCCCCCGACGAGGGCTAATCCAATTTTCAATCTGATTTGATGAGACTTCTATGCAATTGTAGTGTGGCAACCGGGCCCATGGTGTCCAGTAGGGTGAACCAGAAGATGATGCTCCAGAAGAATGATCAAAGCAGAGCATAGTGATAATCAGGCTGGTCCTTTGGATAAGTTGTTGTAGGACCACTCTTACTGTTCTGAGTGATGGTTTCTGAAGTTGAGTTGTTCGGGTTAGAATCGGCTTAGAGACTCGGCGTTACTTAGGACTTTCAACTCAACCAGGAACTCGCAGTTCAAGCATGAGACTTACTTTAACCCAGGCTTTTGGGAAGTGTTGCCGTGTTAGACAACTGCAACTTGATATTTCAGGACCAACGCCGAGTAAATATATCTCTCATTGTCCAAAAGAGCTGTGCTGTATAAATCAGTCGTCGTCGACACCCCGCCAAGCATCGGTTAGCACTGGCATACCACATCCATAAACATGGACCCGTCTAGTACAGACTCCATCTAAACCGTCAGGTAAGGTCGACGCAGGTAGGCACCGTAATCTACAACGAAGACCAAAAACAAAATCGTCGTTCATAACCCAACATCAAACGCGTCCCCAGAATTCATGCAGTGTTAAACCGTCTTCAGAGAACCAAAGTCATAAGCTGGCTTCTGATTCGGTTACGGAGGAACAAAACAGTCCCTAGACGCCAGCACGGAGCAAACCATAACCTTGTCGATGGGCTGTCCGGTCACAAGCACCCCTGTCCAAGGCTCGGTTCCCTTATCGATAGGATTCCACGCGGGGCGCGGGGAAAGGATGGAAAGCTCAGGGACGGCTTTCAGGGGGTTTGGGGCACGCTGTCACCACTACCAACTTGCCTTATCGGTACACGGCTTACGTCGGCTCAGCCATGACGTCGCAACTTCGGCCGACGATAGACGGTCTTCCTCGGGATAGCTGCTGTCTCGGCATTCTCCCTCTGCGCCCTCTGAGCCCTCTTGACTTCTTTCCCTTTCGCCTTTGAAATTCCCATGTAATTGGGGGAAGGCTTTTTGATCATCTTCTTTCCATCAATTGAATTTCTTTCGAAAAGATCAAAGGGCCAAAGAAAGAGAAGTACCAGAGATGAGGACCTCCAAGATCCTTCGACGGGCACCCCTCGGCGGGCTGGCCCTCCCCCGAGCCGGAAAGACGACATCAACACCGACAGCAGCATCAGCAGCAGCAACACCTCAAAGCCGACGAGCAGCAAGCAGCCTCTCCCAAAGACCAAACGCAAACCACGTCTCCTTCCCCGGCGCCGTAAAGAGCGCCTTCACGAGCAGCCTCAAGTTCGAGACGCCCGGCGACTACCCCGCCGTGCCGACCTACCGCGTCGTGGATCAAAACGGCGCCATTGTCGACGACGCCTTCGTCCCGGACCTCGACGAGACGCAGATCGTGAAGCTCTACAAGGACATGGTCTTCATCTCCGTCATGGATCTCATCATGTTCGACGCCCAGCGCCAGGGCAGACTGAGCTTCTATATGGTCTCGGCGGGCGAGGAGGCGCTGAGTGTTGGCTCCGCGAGCGTGCTAACGCCAGAGGATGTCATCTTCTGCCAGTACCGCGAGCAGGGCGTCTTTAAGCAGCGGGGCTTTACAACGGCGGATTTCATGAATCAGCTTTTTGCCAATTCGAAAGATCCCGGCAGGGGAAGAAACATGCCGGTGCACTACGGTAGCAAGGAGCTGAATATTGTGGGTTCCCAAGACCGAGGCAGCACCTTTGGAGAGGATTGGAGGATACACATGCTAACACGTTGCCCGTACAGCATACCATCTCGTCACCTTTGGCAACACAGCTTCCGCAAGCTTCGGGAGCAGCATACGCACTGAAGATGCAGCGGATGCAAGATCAGTCGATACCGCCGAGAGTCGTTGCAGCCTACTTTGGCGAGGGTGCGGCGAGTGAGGGAGACTTTCACGCCGCCCTCAATATCGCGGCTACAAGATCATGTCCCGTAATCTTCATCTGCCGAAACAACGGCTATGCCATCTCCACGCCGACGCTAGAACAGTACAGAGGTGACGGAATCGCCAGCCGCGGCCTGGGGTACGGCATCGACACCATCAGAGTAGATGGCAACGATATCTGGGCCGTCAGAGAGGCTACGAAGAGGGCCCGTGAGATGGCGCTTGAGAACGGAGGCCGCCCCGTCTTGATCGAGGCCATGACTTACAGGGTGAGCCACCACAGCACGTCGGATGACTCGTTTGCCTACCGTGCCAGAGTCGAGGTTGAGGACTGGAAGAGGCGGGACAACCCCATTACGCGTCTGCGCAAGTACATGGAGGCCAAGGGCATGTGGGATGAAGCCAAGGAAAAGGAGTGCAGAGACTCGACTAGAAGGGATGTGCTGAAGGCGTTCAAAGAGGCCGAGATGGAGAAGAAGCCGCCAATCCGAGGCATGTTTGAAGACGTTTATGAGGAACTGACGCCAGATCTGAAGCAGCAGATGGCACAGCTACGTGAGCATCTGGATAAGTACCCTGATGAGTACGAGTTTGGTGAATTCGAGGGAGGCAAGGATAGCTTAAAGGCATAGACGAGAGGGCCCTGCATGATACCTACCTGGCTAGAGAAGAAATGATTAATGCGGAATCTCCGGTGCCGCGGATGCGAGCGAAGCCTATATTACTTATTATCGGAATTTCGTGAGGTGTCTTTGTTGACTCGCTGGACTCGGCTGCTTAGAAATGGAGTATTGGTCGACCCTGATGGCGCAAGAGGAGGTGGGATCTCCACCCAGACTTGAATCAGCTCCGTCAAAATCTGGAGCGCACTGGGCAAAGTGTGGATGCGTAAACGGAGACGTGGTTCCGTAATGACGAGCGGCTTTGATGCGACGGGGAAGCTGTTTTGGTTGTACTGTGGTAAGTGCCTTAGTGCAAGGTCAGCACCTGAGAGACTGGGGATGGTCAGTGGGGGTAGGGCGGGGTCGAGCTGCCAAACGTTGTTCCAGCACGGTAAGACACTACTACAATGACGCTGTACGGATAGAATATTCGAAGACAAGACCTAGCAGGCCAGGCTTGGCCGGATGGAACAGGGAGGCTTGTGACGGGTGACGGACGACGGCACGTCCATGACTGGCGTTGGCGCGCTTCGAGGTTGGGACGGAGCCAGACGGTAGGCGTGACAGGATGGGAACCGTTCCATGACATAGTTCTGCCCCGTATTGTTTAGTATCAAATGTAAGGTATTGGCAAGACGGAGCGCAGTACCTACGTCTGTATCCGCAGCATCATAAGCATGGGCCTTACCGCAGGGATTCCCTCCTCGTGGTTGCTCATGTTGAGTTGGCGGGCTTAGTGCTCCGCTACCCCCCAGTGGCTACGTTTGGAGCAAAAAGTGGACTGGAACAGCGATATCAGAGCCGCTTGGAGCATGTTGGGCGTGTGAGTGTGGCCTGGTCCTTGACACCTTGTGCGTGTTGTGCGTGTTGTGCGTGGTGTGCGTGGTACGTGTGGCGTGCGGCGTGGTGCTTGTTAAACTGTTAGCAGCAACGGGTGGTGTGTCTGTCCCGTTCGCCGGCCACGGCCCAGGGCATCCATCAGTCAGACCCGACACCTTCTTCCTCTCCCGTGCTGCTTTGGCGCTGCATAACCTCGTCTGGTTCCAAAACCCTTCCATACATCTCCCCAAACTTCAACATCGCCATCGAATCTGTTTTCCTGCGACGGCAACGACGACGACGATAACGATACGACGATAATTCGATTTGAAGGATAGATCAGGCCATCAATATCGATGACTCTCAACGCAACGAGATCGCCCTGACTGATCCGTTGATTCGGACCAACCTCGCAACGCCATCGTATCTGTTGGCCATTTCCCGACGGCGCTGATAACATCAAGACACCACGACGCCTAATCGCCAGAAACCCTCGAGTTGTCCTGCCTCATGGCGTAATCCATGGCAGAACGAATCGCCTCTGCAAACCAGCGCTCCAGATCGGTAGTCGACCACGATCCCCCGCGCGCCTCCCGTCTACGCCGACGACATCGTCTTCCGGTTCGGGTTCACCCACCCTAGCTTCGACCTCGTCTTCCCAGCGGTAGGTGGTTGTTATTTCACCCGTATTTGCCGTGTTTCGTTTCGAGTTCCCGTACATTGTTTTGTGCTTCGCGGAGACAAAGGAGAGTGTCGAAGGAGACAGAGCATGCGTGTGTGATTCGTGTGTGTATGAGAGCGACACAGAGAGAGACTCGAGAGTGAAGAGGAACAAGAAGAAGAAGAAGAAGAAGAAGAAGAGGACACACAAGAGGAACGAAAGCAGCAAGAATCAACCTCGAGCGACAGACGCGCAGGATATTCCTGTGAGAGAGCAAGAGTAGGAGCACACGGGAGGCACAGAGGCAGGAGCAGCTCCAGGTGTCGTGGGGTAGTTGCCGGCGACAACCAACTCGTCTCGTGCCTGCCTGTCTGCCTGCCACCTTCTCTCAGTCTGGTTTACCTACCTCTACCTTACTGCTGCTTCTTTCACTTTCACCATGTTCGTTTTTCTCTCTTGATCCTCGAGTCCAAGAAAGGCACAAAAAAAGGACACCTTTTCGACCTTGGGATCCGCCCTACCTTTGTTCCCCTCCTCTTCCTCCACCTGAAGCTACCTCACCTTTGGTTCCCGAACGGCGGTATCTCGAACTTAAGCGGGTCGGGTCACTATACCTACTGGACCGCCCTACCTCATTACACCGCAACCGCAACCGCACCGTACACACCCTGCCAGGCACCACTTTCACCGTACCTCTAGAGCACCTCAGGAAGAAAAAAAAAAGACACAGAGAGACGCCTGCTTTCCAACCATTGAAACACGGCTGCATCGCACCGCTCCTTCACCTTCTCTTCATCGAGTCTTGATCATCTCCTCCTCGACTCTACTCCTCTTTTCTCCTTCACTTCCTTACTCTCGTCACTCTCGCTTGGTCAGCTGCGAGCCAGTGCTAGCAGACCCCTCCCTCTACCACCCCAGCAATTCATTGCATGCTTTACCTCTCTCGTTGTGTCTAGTACACTGTACATCCACATCCACTACACCCACATACACCACACACGCACACATCTGACGTTCGTTGCGGACACGCATGAGGCCA